AATGGAAACTACTATAGTATATGAATGCATACATTTTGGGGTATGTGACTAGTCGACGTTTTTCCCTCACCCTGTGGTCGTGGGTCCTGTCGGTTGCATACCTCTGGTATCGAATTTATGAATTCTCAGAGTTGTCTGTGGAGACATAGGGAAACCTAGGTTTTTTTTGGGGAAATCAAGTCCAAACCAGGCTCAGTCAGGTGGGGAAAAGGCTTAAACTTTTCTGTTTATCAGACCGAGAGCATGGTTGAATTATTTGTTGTTTGCTGCCCGGAACTTCTGAGCAGCTTTGTGTCCAGTTTCATGTGAACCATAGTCTAAACTCCCTAGCATCCCCCTTAGTATCCCCTTCAATAACCCTATGATAGTCCCCTATATCGTCCCCTATATGACCCCCCTTAAAAAGTTTAGACTCTAGCTCATGTCAGGTTTCTGCAAGTTGGCACCCGGTTTAGGCTTGTGCTCTCATCTACGTTCTGGCTACATCAGCAAGTAGCTACCTAAACCCTAAACCCTAAACCCTAAACCCTAACTGCTGCGCGGTGCGCGTGTCTAAACCCTACTGGCCGGGCAAGTCGCAGTAGCCGAGGCTGGCCATGCCTTCATTCCACAAGTGCTTCTTTGGTCAGCAAGGCCTATGGCAGCTCATGCAATGTAAGCCAGAAACTAAATTCCTTGAAGGGGTTATATAGGGGATTAGAGGAGGCTACTTTAGGGGTTATGAGGGGGGGATACTAGGAGTTTAGACTATGGCTCATGTCTTCTCGGCCGGGGTCATCAGGAAGAACTTGCGCTTCAGCACGGGCTGGTCCCAAGATCTCAGAGAGAAACAAGTTGATGACTTCATGCGGACGCAGCTGAAGAAGGGGACAGGCCTGGGTTCGCCCAGCTCCATCCGGATAGCTTGCACGAATCCGTCTCCGAACGCGAGCTTTGCTTTTAGTTACGCCCTTCCGACGCACGATGCCTCCCAAAGATGGCAGGCTGCTGCATGTTGCGCTGAAAACCTTCAGCCAAAACAGGCAGTCCGACATGTGGGGGACATGAAGTGGCAACTGATGACTGGCAATTTGAAGTCGACACGAAATTCAGCTGCTACTCAGTCACAGCCGCAGGTGAGCTCTTGTTTGCTCTGAAAGTAATCGTCAGACCTTCAGCCCTGTGCAATCATACAGAAATGTTGTCCCAAGCCTTCAAACCTACTGGAAGAGGGGGCCAAGAGAGATGTGTGCAAACTCTGGGCGAAGTAGCCTCGGCTGCAGGATCCATGGATTTCCTGAGCTGTGTGAGCTGTAGTCTAAACTCCTTAAAGGGGATTATATAGGGAATTATATAGGGGAGTATATAGGGGAGTGTTATACGGGTTATTAAGGGGGATACTAGGAGTGTTAGACTATAGATTATGTGAAGAGCTTTGACTTCTAATACCCGACGGATCTGTGCGCGCGCGTACTGCGCTTTGAGTCTAGCTCGCTCTTCACGTTGTTGGCGCTCACATTCCGAGAGGTTTGATTTGATGGAGAGAGCCTGCTTGCTGGTGCAAACCCTATAAACCCTAAACCCTGAAGAGCGCCCGCAAGATGTAACGGGGGATCGGCCGCTCGCTGGGCCTTGGGGCTCTGGCCCAGTAATAACAATTGATAGTCAGAATAGTATTAATATTTGCGACAAGAAGCATAGCTGTGATAATAGTAGTAGTAGTAGTAATAATAGTAGTAGTAATAGTAATAGTAATAGTAATAGTAATAGTAATAGTAATAGTAATAACAACACTGCTGGGGCCACTTCTTGGCAGTGAGCTGCCGCTCTGAAGTGGGCACCGTCGCTTGCGAAGGTCCGCAAGCACCAATCGCAAACCTTAGGTGCCTGTACTACTACTATCTTATTACTGCTATGAATATGTTATTACTAGTCCTACTATTACTATTCTTATAAGTAATTTTTAAATATTATGAAGCTGTTATTATCAGGACACCATGCGCTTTGAAAAAGGGGGCGCTTCGCCTGGAGGGGTTTACGGTCTCGGGCTCCAATTGAGCTTTCTAGATTCAAGGCCTCAGGGGCCAAAGATTTCTTGCCTACGACTTTCACTGCGCTTTCCGTACTTGATTCGTCGCTCAAGGTTTGAGAAGTTTCAGCTGATGGGAGTAGCTTTTGACACCAGATGGAAAATCCCCAAAGTGGACGTCAGAATTCGGATGTTCGAGCTTTCCTCCCCACAACCCCCCGGAACCCTAAACCCTAAACTTCGAAGCTCAAGGGTTGCGAGGCTGCATGTTTCGTGCGCTGGTGAAGAAAATGCACCTTCACATAGCAGTTTCGGCACAAGTGAACAATTGATGCGCCACAGTTGAGTACAGGGCTTATACAGGGATCCTTACCCAATGGTGGAGAATTAAATTGAAGAGACCATGAACAATCAAATGGGAACTAGGGTAATAAAGTGGTTTATAGGGGCAAGGCTTTCTGGAAGTTAGGGGCCCATAGCTCCACGCCTGCATTCTAAGCGGCATATATGTTTTCAGAGTTTGCGGTAGGAGTCTGCAATACGCAGGCTTGAGCACCCTGGAAGAAGCCTGATCTGGCGCATGTACCCTAACACTTTTAGATCTTACATTTGACCAGGAGGCAAGTCTTGCTAGATGAAAGTCTTACTTAAGAAGTCACAGCTTTGGGAGGGCCTGCGGATGGCACCGCGCATCCTGCCATGGCGCCTGTTGTGGATACACTGGCTCTTCGTGTCTCCACTGATGGCGCTGGAAAGCTTACTGGCCAGAGAATCTGTCCGCAGCATCCAGGAGTGGCACGATAGCTTGGCAGACGAGACAGCAGCATTGCGAGACGTTTCTTCCGATGTTTGCTGGCAGGGAGGCTTCACGAAGGAGAAGTGCTGTCGTGGAGATGCATCAACCGCACCAGAATGTTGGGATGGGAGCTACAGCTTTGGAGAATGTTGTCCCAATGCTGACTGTTGGGTTGGGGAGTCCTTTACCTATGAGTTCTGTTGTGGGGCCAAGTATGGTTCCACGGGCAACCCTGCCTGCTGGGCTGGCTCATTCACCTACCAGCTCTGCTGTCTGGCGAATGGGACTTCAAACAGTTGGGCAGATGTACTTGCATCACAAGTCGAAACAGAGCAGTTCTATAAGATGGATGATTTCTACACTGATGCGCAGTATGGAGATGAGTGGGGGTATTATTCAAAAGGGCATGTGCTACTGGGTGGGGGAAAAGGAGGCCAGGGGGACACACAGAGCACACAGCAATTTGCGCATTTCACCACCTACCCTATGGCACTGTCTCCACACTTCGCAAGAGTCTTTTGCCGCTTGCTCTTCGTCATGTGGGCCTGGCCCTTAGGCAATTTCTGGCTTTGCTGTGAGAGTTCTTGGGACCCAGAAGCTTGTGGGGTGATGGGTTCGCTAAAAGGGTTCAAATGGGAACCCCAAACAGGGAACCCCAAGAATATAGTAGGAATATAATAGAATATAAGGACCCTGGTGGGTATATTCCTACTATATTCTTGGGGTTCCCTGTTTGGGGTTCCCAGTAAAGTCCCTTTATTCTCAGGTCCAACTGAATGAGCGCGCACCCTTCCGGGTGGTAGAGATGGGTGCAGGCAGGTTTGGGTGCAAAATTGTCCCAAAAGCATACAACCATGGCAAGTGAGAGGCTCTGGTCAGCTGGCCTATGACACACAGCAATGTGTTCGAACAAATGCGCTGGGTCTGGCGCCGCCTGTTTGGCGTCGCTGGACAGCGGCCTTTGAGTTCCTAGGCTCAACTCTCGTTATAGGGGAGTATTGGGGAAGCGGGTTATACAGGGGTACAATATTAAGGGGTTTAGGGTATAGGGATGTATAGGGTCTGAGCAGAGGAATTGATGCAGCATTGCATGCTCCGCACATTGATGCAGATGAGGTACACAATCATGGAGAGGCTTGGCAGGGATCTTTTCTTCGCACAGAAATTTGCCCTAAACCCCAAGCCCTAAACCCTAAACACAGCTTGCAGGTCTCCTGCACTTCGCAAGCGACAGCAGTCTCGAGGACTACGATCAGTTGCCGGGGATGCGCAGAGCACAGTCATCGGCTCAGTAGGGTTTAGGGTTTAGGCTTTAGGGTTTAGGATTTAGGGTTCAGAGACTACCATGTGCCTTACTGCCCTGCCTGCCGTCATGTAGGAGTTCCAGGAAGGAGCTTCCCCCTTTTCTACTCCCATGATATCATGGTCCTCATTTGGGGGGGGCTCCAAAAAGGTATCCCAAAACCCCAAACCCTAAACCCCTAAACCCTAAACCCTAAACCAAGCAACTAAACCCTAACTCTCAGTTGTCGGCCCTACCTGAAGGCCAGTTGCAAGTCGGTCTTGGCAGCGTTGGCCGCTTCAACTGCCTGCCAAGGACGGTCCTGAACTATCCATAGCCACCTGGGTTTAGGGTTTAGGGTTTGGGGTAACAGTAGTAGATTTCATGATTCATAATGGTAGTTGGAATAGACGGTAATCGTCAAAGTCATAGTCACGGTAATCTTCAGGAATGGTACTCAGAATGAATTAGAAATGGTAAGGACTGCGAAAGCATCAGACACTATAACCTTGCGATTTTGACTCCCTGAGACAGGCGCAGAGGGCTTGGATGCTCCAGAGTGCGAGGCCAAGGACCGAGGCACAGCAGAGGCTGGTGCTTCAGTTGTTCCTTGTCTTTACTGGGTTGCTGTCAAGGAAGTGTTAAAATTACGAAGATACGGAAACCAGAGAAGGGCGCAGAGTAGCATTTAGGGCTTGCAGCTACCAATTGATTGTAGTTTCCTTGCACAGGAGGGACCCATGCGGGACCTCAATATGGACCCCACATTTTTTCATCTTTGTTATTGTATGGACACCCAGAAACGCATCCCTAATTTCGGGATATCCCTAGGTTCCTCCTGTAGTTACTTAGACAGCTGGTCTGCGGATGGAGTTGGCACTGCTTATCTCTTGCTTGGGTTGAAGACCTTGTAGGAGAAGGCCATCCTAGCCCCCAAACCCATAACCCTACTGGTGGTTAGTAGGGAATAAGGAATATCATTCCTATATAATGTTGCGCTCACTTTCGTGTAGAGACCCTCTTTAATGTGTTTTCGCCGCCGCTTATTCAGGATCTGGCCATTGTTGGGAGGGTCCTGTTTAAGGTGTTTTGGTTTTGGGGCCTTAAACACACGGGACCGAATCCAGACCATCCCTTTTAAAATACTCTCCAAGGCCTCCCGGGGCCCTCAGTACCGTGGGACCCTTATTCAGACCCTAAGTTGAAGTTTTCGGGAGGCCCTATTGTTAGGCAGGGGGGGCCCCTAAGATTAAAGTCCCACATTAACCCCTATATAATCCCTATAACCCCTGTATAATCCCTATGGTTTCTATGTCATAATTAATGTATTCCCTTATTCCCTACTAACCCAGTAAGTAACCCTAAACCCTGGTTCATGACAAAGACTTGGCCAATCCTTCCCGCGTTAAGGTTCTGTCCAACGAGTTGTTGGATGCATTTGCGCCGGTGAAGCTGCGGTCCCTTCCTCTCAATGACTTACTGGTTGCAAAGAAACTGGAAACTGCATGAGCTATAGTCTAAACGCTGTTAAAGGGGGTTATGTACGCGAGACTTGTAGCTTTATCAAGATGGATACTAGGAGATTAGACTATAGCTCACCTGGTTGGGCATGATATAACGAGCTTATGAGGATCCCATCCTCCATTCACTACGAAAAACCCTGTGTGCGAAGTGAGGGTTCGCCTTTTGGAGCATCTTTTGGCATGCGAGAACTCTAGGAGATCTTATCTTGGAGGGGACCAATCAGGACCAGCATCGTGGACCACTCCCACACCCTGTCCTTCCGTGACTCATTGTCTGCTGTGGCCAAGCAGGCCAGCATCATGAGCATCAGCTGGACTTGGTTTTTCCTAGGGACGGCCAAGCAGGCCAGCATCATGAGCATCAGCTGGACTTGGTTTTTCCTAGGGACGGCCAAGCAGGCCAGCATCATGAGCATCAGCTGGACTTGGTTTTTCCTAGGGACGGCCAAGCAGGCCAGCATCATGAGCATCAGCTGGACTTGGTTTTTCCTATGGACAGCCAAGCAGGCCAGCATCATGAGCATCAGCTGGACTTGGTTTTTCCTAGGGACGGCCAAGCAGGCCAGCATCATGAGCATCAGCTGGACTTGGTTTTTCCTAGAGACGGCCAAGCAGGCCAGCATCATGAGCATCAGCTGGACTTGGTTTTTCCTAGGGAC